AAGTGAATCTGCCTTCCCCATTGACTTTGTTTGTCAAAAGGTTGCAAAAGGTGATCACATGATCCAGAACACACTAATCATCATTAATACATGCCAGTTGCCAAGCATCCGAATTTTGATCACAAGGCCAGGGGGATTCTGCATTGGTTGTAAGTGCAAAAAATAGCAATAGCACTTAGACTTATATACCACTTCATATTGCTTTTATAGCCCTCTCTAAGTGGTTTACAGAATAAGCCTATTGCCCGCAACAATCTGGGTCCTCATTTTACTCACCTCGGAAGGATGGAAGGCTGAGTTAACCTTGAGCCTGGTGAGATTTGAATTGCCAAATTGCGGGCAGCCGGCAGTCAGCAGAAGTAGTCTGCAGTACTGCATTCTAATCACTGTGCCACCTTTAAAAAATTGTCATAAGTTATCTTTTTCAATGCCATTGTAACTTCAAACAGTCACTAAACAGACTGTTATAAGTAAAGGATTACCTCTACAATATTCACAGACCACACTTAAGGCCTGCCATGTATTTACATTGAATTCAATACTCCCTGACAGAATAAACTAAAATTCACATTAACTTTCTGTGTTCCAAATCTGTCATCTTGTAGGTGGGCCAGAATCTAATCTGATACAAAAGGGACATTTATTCGTAGGTATAAAAAGAGGAAGTTCAATAGAGGATGAGATACAGTTTTCTCCCTCCTCCCATTTCTGTTAAAAAAAGGGGGGGGGCTTTATGCAGTGTAAATTGCTTTTGGGGGCAAGGCTTGCAAGGAGTCTTAAGTAGCGTCTTTTGTCAAATCCCTTCTGAATTAGATCCGCTGAGGATAAAAAGCTTCGAGAAATCCAGTTCTGTCCTCAGCCATCATAATCTCTTCTTGTTACTTCTGTGCAGTCCAAAATAGGACTCAAATTACCATAGCGTTACCGCTCTTAACAAAGCAATTCCTTATTTTTGGATGTTCTTGCAATTTGGACACACTTTGCTCTGTCCCCTCCTTCAAATTGCTTTACTTACTGCAGCAGCCACCCCCAAATTAAAGTAGTGTTCTCTCCCTTTTCTTCTCCTAGGCTGATTAACATATTGTATAAGGAGAGGTAATTGGCAGCTTTTTAAAGTAAAAATCTGCTCTTACCTGGAATTAGAATGGAATTGGCATCGGAAGGGAGAGATTTCATTAGGGTTTAGAGACATTACTTGTTTAGCTAGCATTGTCAGTATACTGGTAGCTACTTCTCACAAAGGATAGTCAAAGACAGATGGATCTTAATACTCACATGAAGATTTCGAGGCCTGGAATTTGAGAAGGGGGTTTAGTTGTGGGAATTGGGGTTCTATTCTCAGAATATTAGGTGAGGAGAACAAGTGAGGAGCCAAAACATATGGAAATGTATGGCCACTGGAAGTGCCCTGTCAGAAATAAAAGAGAGAAATCCTTTGTTACACTTCCTATTAAACCAGGGATAAGTCGGTCAATTGCAGAATTTTGCATTCTCTAATTCAGTGGTGGCGAGCCTTTTCGCCACCAAGTGCTGAAGAGGGACTGCGTATGTGTGTGTGTTGCGCTCTCTCTCGTCGGGGCCACACCCTTGAAGAGGAGCTGCCCAAGGGACATGCGGGTGCCGGGAAAGGAACTTCCAGTTTTCGGTGTGTGTATGTGCACTGGCCAGTTGATCTTCCGGTTTCTGGTGTGCATGTGCACGCCAGAAACCGGAAGACCAACTCTTTCAGTTTCCAGCACTGCCACATGGACAAAAGCCAGCTGATTGTCGTGCGTGCCTGCGTGCAAGAAATCCAGGAGAGAAACAGGCAACGCCATGCATGCCAGGCAACATGGCTCTGGGTTGACTAATTGACTGGTGATCAATCCACTTAGAAATTTTTAAAAATGGCTGGGTTTTGATTCCTCTAAGAGAAATAGAGGGTAGTTTTCTGGCTGCGCTGAGACTGACAAAATCATTGGGACCCACAGTTTCCCCACATGGACCATTTCAGGTTACCCCTCCCATTTATGACAACATATTGTCCCTCAATTGCGCAGAGCATCTGGAAGTGGGATAGAGAAAAAAACTTTCAGAGCGGTGGGTGGACAATAAGATGCAGGAAGTAAGTGAAGTCCTCTGGAAATGTCTAGCAGACCGTTTTTTATCCTGGGGCAAGGAGATGGCAATGGTTTATCCTGAGTGGTTAGATCTTCAATTCATAGTACTTATGTGGGATTTGATTTTTGTAGCACCTGCTGTCAACTCTACTAGGGACACCAGACCGGACCAAGAAATCATCTCCACACGAAGGCTAAAACTACTTTTACTGAAATTGGCTATAATAACAGAATATTACCGGTCTGAATGTGCTGTACCTTCTCCTCCTTATTGTTCAGTGAATTAGGGAGGCTTCTGCCTGAACTGCTTCTAAATGTTAACTCTTTGTCCTAGACTTGGAAAAAAAATGCTTCAGCACTTTTTGTCTAGATAATGGCTTCTGCATATCCCTATCGAGGTTAGTTTCTCGACTCACTTCACCTGTTGATGAATCTCATAGCTTTTCTTGCTACTTATCATTCTGAAACATTTTCCCCCTAGTCCAACACAACACTTATCTCCAGAATGTGAGATAACAGTAAGGTCTTTAGAACAACACTAGCAGTGATTTATCTCTGTAGGGATTCTGGCCCTTTTGTCATCTTCTAATTCAAGACTTTCTCCAAAATGGGTGCCTTCTAAGAGTGTTGGACTAAATATCCTTCATCCCAAACCTTTCATTGGTGGTGATGAATTCAAAATTTCAACAAGTCTGAAGAAGTTCAAGTGCAGGGAAGGCCATGTTTTTTGGGGGGATTTGAACTATGCAAACAAAATGCAATTTATCATATGATATCCAAAATCCATAGTGGGTAATATTATTTTGAGGATCAATCAAAGCGAGACACAAAAATGTGTATTTACAAGATATGACAAAACATAGGGAATGGGGTGGAAACAAAGCTCTTTTTATAAAGTTCAAGATCAAATCAATAAATCTTAATGAGAGATGTGATGGTATCATTTTATACCTTTTCTTCAGGGATAAAAAATAGTGTACATAGAACATTTTAATGCTGGAAAAGTTTGGGGCATAGGCTGGAGAGAAGCCTATTTAAGGAAATTTATATGACTGATAAATTGATTCTCAGTGACTCTGGATAGCATATATGGCTAAACGCTCAATACAAAACAATAAATAAATACCCCTCCCACAACAATCAAGTGAGCCATTTGATGGGCGCCATCCCACTCTGGGGTCCCCAGGCCTATTGGCAAAAACAGGTCCTTTGGGGCCTTATGAAAGATTGTTAAAGTGGAGGGCAATTTATCTCTGTAGTGATGATGATCCACAGTGAGGGAGCCACCATGGAGAAGGCCCTTCTTCTTGGCCCTACTAAATGGACCTCCTTAGGAGAGGAGGTCTCCTAACATTCCTTGCCTCCATCCTCCGGTGGTTTGGGTAGTTGTAATTGGGAAAAGATAATCTTTCAAATAACCTGGTCCAGTGGTGGAATTCAAATTTTTTCTTACTATTGGTTCTGTAGCTGTGGCTTGGTGGACATGGCAGGGGAAGGATACTGTAAAATCCCCATTCCCTCCCCACTGCAGGGGAAGGTTACTGCAAAATCTCCATTCGCTCCCAATCAGCTGGGACTCGGGAGGCAGAGAATAGATGGGGGCGGGGCCAGTCAGAGGTGGTATTTACTAGTTCTCCAAACTACTCAAAGTTTCTGCTACTGGTTCTCCAGAACTGGTCAGAACCTGCTGAATACCACTTCTGTCCTGGTCCTAAGTCACGTAGGGCTTTCAAGTTGACAATCAGCAACTTAAATTAAAGGCAAGAATTTGGTAATTTCCTGGAATGAGGATGTGATTCTTTGTTTAGCAACTACATATTGCATTAAAGAAGTTAACTATGTATTTATTTTACTGAATAAAGGAAGCAAGATAGCATTTACTTTTTTTTTGTCCTCCATTGGGCTTAGCTTCAAATAATTAATCTAGAGGATCTGAGAGGTTGCATTAGGCACTTTCAACTATTATTTTGTTACCTGCGCGATAAAGATTATGACAAATTATGCATTGAAAATACTTATTGCAAAAGGATGTGCTTGCATAAGAGATAAAGTCAAGATGGGAATAGAATGTTGAGGACAAGGGAAATATTAGCTTATGGATAGCTATATCAACTTTGATTGATGTCATGTTGTTTTTTCATTTCAACAGAAGAACCCAGAACTCTATAAGCTGCCACTATCCTTGCTCCGACGATTGTATGGTGGCCAAGGGATATCCTATGAGGCACTGCTCAGGCTGTCAGGCAAAGAAGAAATCAGTAAGTATCACTAAGAAAACAGCCCCAAAGGAATTCAAGAATGTTTGATAAGTTGAAAGGTTTTTGTCTATGTTTTAAGAGTTCAGCCTTATAAGGTAAAAAGTAAAGGTTCCCCTCACACATATGTGCTAGTCATTTCCGACTNTAATTTCAACAAACTTTTATTTAAATAATATTTTAAAGTGAATTTAAGAAAGTAAGATTATATCATTAAGATTAAGCAGAAAGAAATGTTAACATGACTGAATGCAAATGTGCAAAACGCAATGTGGCACTGGCACAACAAATAAATATGTTAGCTTTGAGTATGGACAGGATAAGAAGAGATACAACAGTTGCTTTTGTTGTGTACAGCTACAATTTTTCCTTCTGTTCAATCGTGCCTGATTCTCAGAGGCTGCCTGAACAAGTCCCTATAGTTTTCTTGGCAAGGGTTTCCAGAAATAGCTTACCATTACCTCCTTTCTAGGGCTGAGAGAAAGTGACTGGCCTAAGGTCACCCAGCTGGCTTTGTGCTTGAGGTGGGACTAGAACTCACGATCTCCCATCTTCTAGCCTGATGCCTTAATCTCTACACCAAACTGTTTCTCATAGCCTGTATATAATTGTACTACATGATAGGTATGTTGTTGTGTCTATCCTTTTGTCCATTATTGACAAGATAGTTAATCTTCCTGTTGCTTATGTTTTTTTGTTGTTCATCTTGAATTTATTTAACTGAGATGTACTAACACAAATGTGTTGATGCCACCAGGTAATGGAATATCTATGTTTGCCTTCTCTCAGCTCTTCCTCAGTTTATAGCTATATTTTAACTACTGTAGTTTTTAAATACAGGACTCTGGTAATCCTCAGCAAATTAATAAACTGAGTTAGCCCAATGGTTAGAGTGCAGTACTGCAGGCTACTTCAGCTAATTGCTAGCTGCAGTTCGGCAGTTCAAATCTCACAGGCTCAAGGTTGACTCATCCTTCCAAGGGGGCAATAGGCTGACTCTGTAAACAGCTTAGAGAGGGCTGTACAAGCAATGTGAAGCGGTACATAAGTCTAAGTGCTATTTCTATTGCTAATAAGGGGCTCCCTTGAGTCCCTCTATTTTTCAAACATTTCCTTGGAATGCTCCTCCTGAATGTCACTTTAACAATCTACAGAATAGCTCATTAAACAGAGATTTGGCCTTCTTTTTTTAGAATGTCTTGATATTTATTTTAGCAAGGAGACTTAAAAAAAAAATGTTCCTCTTCCCATTCTGCAAAATCTGGTGGGGCAGCCCACTCTGAAATTTCTTCAGTCTACAGGTAGTCCTCAACTTATGACAAAAATTGAGCCCAAATTTTCTGTTGCTAAGTAAGTGAATTTTGCCCCATTTTATCACCTTTCTTGGCACAAATGTTAAGTGAATCGCTGTAGTTGTTAAGCCAGTAACATGGTTGTTAAGTGAATCTGCCTTCCCCATTGACTTTGTTTGTCAAAAGGTTGCAAAAGGTGATCACATGATCCCAGAACACACTAATCATCATTAATACATGCCAG